AGTGAAAATAATTATATAAAGAATATTAATAAAGATTTCAGCAGTTCAAGCAAACTTGTAATGTCTTTAACAGAAGTATATTTACAGAAATAAGGTCTTTTCCAGGACAGCCATAATGTAGAATTGTGCAATAGTTATGGTATGGTTTTTCTGCAACAACTAGCAGCTACTTCTCTTTTCCCATACATAAATGGCAGCCAGCAATAGCTAGAAACAAAAGATCCCTCTCCCACTCTCTGAATACAGTGACATTCATTCTCAGAGAAGCAGGGGCAGCTTTTTGAAAGCAGACTTCTTCAGCCCAACAATAACACACAATGAGTTATTGACTTGTTTATATATGGAGCTCTTTTCAGTAACTAACTCTGACTCCCCACAGTCTGGACAAATGATTGATTTCGTTGTTAGAAAAAGAGAGAGCTCTTGCACTAAACTCTGTAGTGCAAACTACTTTTCCCCCATTTGTTCCCCTACTGAATAGGACCTTATTAAAATGCACTTTCCAAAAAATACCTGCAGCTGGCCTTTATAAGCATGTTTTGTATATATAAATAAGTAATTTGTCCCACTCTTTTGTATAGTAATAGGCCATCGGGTAATCTTGTCAATATATATATCTGAAGTCTGATTGCCACAGTTTTTATGTTAAATTGTATTATTTATATTTATCTGCATATAAAACATAATTCAGATTGTTTATTTGAACAGTAGTTATGTGCTAATTGGTTACAATGTTAATATTTTAAAATTACTGGGCATAAGTTTTTCTTATGGTGAGATCTTGAGACTATAAATTGGCTATATGCTCTACATGCAGGTTAATTAGATATTTTGTAATATTTGAGCAAACTATGAAAATTTAGTTAAAACTCTTTTGTATTTTGAATATATAATTATTGATCCATTTGTTATCTCATAACTATAATTATAAAATGTCCAGCCATACATTCTGTTATATTCTATCGCTCAAAACACAAACATTTTCCATTAATTCTTTATGCCCATCTGTTGAAAGGAAAATTGATTAATCCACCCTTTTATTATCTTTCAAGGGTTTTTATTTTGTTATCTGTAAAAAAGTTGGCTTTCTTAGGTCCTACTTAATCATTATGACATATTTTAAATGTAAACAAGCATTTGGTATCTTCTTTCTTTAAAATGTTTATATGCAGCACCTAAAAAGTTGGCTTGTACAGCTGCTATGCTGGAGGAACAATTTCTGTGTGATCAGAAAGCATAGCTCACTTTATGCTATACTGAACTCTATGCTTTGCTAGCTGCATACCCTCCATGGGAGGTTAAGAACCCATTCTCTCAATAATTTGTGGAGAAATTATGTCTGGGATGCATCTTACAAAGAAACAAGGAAAAGATTATAAGAATTTATTAAAAGTGAACATATTTGTAAAATAGTCACAAATAGCCTTTAATTGCACATTAGGCCTGATTCGCCATGGGGTTGCATCTATGTATTCAGTTACACTTGTGCAAAGTGAATGTAAAATATTACCAGATCAGAATGATAGCATTTTAATACAGCATTGCATATACTCTGCAAAGTAGTAAATAATTACACAAGATACAAGGTGGCAGAAAATTATGTCCATTGTATTGTATTTTTTAAAGCATTTCCCACATGATTTTAAGAAAGGCTAGATTGCCTATTCGCCCAGATGCTTAAAGTTTTCAGAAAATTTAGGGAGACTGACCAATGTCCATCAAATTTGCTGATTTTGGTACTTTTACTCTCTGTCTTACTATTTGCTTTTTACTTTTTTCCTTGTTTTGTATTCGTTCCATCATCTTTGTGCTCTCTTTCCCTGTACTTCTTTTCTTTCATTCTTTCTCCTTCATTTTTTGTCCAAATACATTTTTTCAATTCTTCATACCTTAACTATTTTTTCTCTTAATTTAATTTCTTTTCTTTTCCATCTTCTGGTTCTTTTATTATACTCTTCTTTGCTGTCTCTTCTTTTCTTTTGGTTTTGCCTACTTTCTATTTCTTTCCCTCTCAATTCTGAATTCCTTCTTTTCTTTTCTCTCTTTTCTCACTGTTTTCAGTTTCTCTTTTCTGTCCCTCTCTCTAAGCTTTCTTAAATCCTTTATTAAAAATAACAAACTACCATGCTGTTATTTGTGTAAGAATTCAGATATCATAAAATGAAGAGAGAAAATTAGCACAGGTATATGTACAGAGTTGAGGTCATATAATTTCCCACTGCATGTCACAGATGAATGAAAGAAGAAATCCTATTCCAATGACACAATTATGCGTGGCCCCTGTCTATTCTAGACATCCAGGTTAACACCAATTCACCTCCACCTGGGTTATCAATGCTGGGAGCCTAGTGCAGATGAGACATCGGCAACATGTCACCTAATCCTGATCAGTGTCAGTCTGCCTGTCATAATGCATAAAATGATGACAGCAGCTGGAGATCCATGTACATTAATGCTACCAATCTTGCTGACCTGGGTGGAACTGAACTAAAATTAGTGGACAATGTTTTAAAAGTCCCTAGTGTAAACAGGCTCTTTGAGGCAGGAAGCCCAAAGAAATATAATTCCCCTTCCCCAGTTCAGTGAAAGGTCCTCCACATGAACGTTAGTAATCAGTCTCGTATGGGTTGTGAAAGGACATGCCTAAGCAGAAGGAGATGGGCAAGGGAAGAGCCACTTTTGTGCCATCACCCGTCTGTAAACCCATTAGGAATTTCCTGCAGAAATTAGTGCGTACTCTGTTATCTATAGGGTCTTGCTCTATGCCATCAACCCACTTTGGGTTATGGATCAGGAGACCATGACAGCATGTCTCTTCAGTGAGTTTTGCTGGCAAGGGGGAAGGGCTGGTTCTCTACATGGGTTCCCTGGCACATTTTGGATGCCCCAAGATCCACAGGATTTCCCTGTGAATCTTGCAATATCCACACATATGAAGCGTTGCCTCATTTTTGGATCTGAAAACCATGGGCCACAACCTCGGCTGGAGTAAATTGGTTTAGTTCCATGGAAGTCAATGGATCAATACTGACTTATTCTGGTAGAGCTATGTAGATCCAGCTCTATATCTCTACCTCTGTAGGAACTCTCTGAACTGCAACTTGTAGAGCTTCTTGGTTTTTGTCACTCCCATATTTAGTACATGTATAATACTTGATGATACATGGATTTACTGTGAATGGTGCCCAGGTTTAGCATTGAAGGGGAAACTGTCTTCCTAACTTTTAACTGGCACGCCAACATTTTGAAGTGTTTCTAATCTTTGAAAGACATATGTAGTTAAGTCTCTTGGACAAAATTGTTCTGTTGGACAAATTATATGTCTCTTTAATCTTATTGGAAGGCACCCACCTGTTGTCTGTCTGAAATGATGCCTAATATACAAAACATTTTTCAAACAGCAGGCACTTTGACTCTGTGGTGATGGGCATGATGTAAGAACCTGAACAGAACAGAAAAAGATTTCATGCAGTTTGAACAAGTGAGACCTGTAATGTGTCTTTCATTTAAATTATGCCAAATGCAGAGATGCGCTAGGCATAAATGACAGGAGAATTGCGCCCTAAAAGAAAAAATGGGCATATTATCATTATGTCTGGATACTTGAAGGAGACGCTATTAACGTTGCATAATTTTTCAAAGTGAAAATGCTCTCTCTTGATTCAACTTTTGCTTTACATATTTCTTATTTGATTTCTATTTGTGAACAGTATTGCAAAATGTATTTAAATGTTATATTTATGAACAACACAGCAAGAGTTTGAAAACGTTCAAATGTTTGTGTCTTACATTTTCTTAATAATGGCATGGAGCTTTGTCTTACTACGGTACTCATATTCTTTTTGGGTTTCCAAGCATTTACTCTGTTGTATTCAGAAAGCTACAAGGGCGTCTACAATGTGTTTTATCATGTGAAAGATGGCATTTTGTGTGCAGTTAATTGTGCTGGTGCCCATTGTGGATTGCAAGAATAAAACCTTGGCTTTATGGTGAAAAGCTTTTGGCTGAAACTTCACTATACTTTATCATTAATCAACCTTAACTTGTACAGTTACCTAAATAGTTACCCACTCACCCTCAGTCCTTTCAGTCTTACTATCAGCTATGCTCTGTGACGCCAATGGATGCACTAGTACCCAGTACTAGCAGTAGCAAGTTCCCAGCATATACTTTTCCTGTGCAGAGACTTGGACTCTGTGTGTGTGGCTGTAAGGCTTATTCCAAGATGTGTAGTCACAATTCCACCCAAAGTGTGGGACAGTGGGTAAAATCCTGGTTCCATTGTAATCAATAGCAAAGCTTCCATTGGTTTCAGTGGGACAGGATTTTACCCAGTAAGTTCTCACAACTGATAACCTGAGAGAGTCAAAAGTAAAGGTGGTGCACTTGCACCATTTGTTTGGAATCTGCTCCTGCAGAGGGGACAGTGGCTCTGTCCAAGCTTTGTGGTCCTCATACAGTGATCCCAGAGTGGGGCAAGGGTTGAGAAATCTCATCAGAAGACTATTTCATCAGGGGAAATGTGGTGTTGGGGCCACTTCTCTCTTAGCATCACCGTGGAGAGGTAACAGCAGACCCCACTCACAGAGCTAGAATTTGTGATTCTATATAGTATAGTGAATGACTATATAGTAGTGAATGACTAAAAAGTATTAGGTACCACAACTTATTTTATTATTGTCTATATTAGATATATCTTAAAAACTGTTTGCCAACTTCAAAATAACTAAGATAAAAATTAAAAATTTCATATATTCAAAGTTAGGTTATTCATTCTAAAGGGTGAGTTTTTTCATATATATATTCTAAATTGAAACTGTCCCTAGAATGTTGATAAAAACTATATTTTCAAATTGCCATAGAATAAATATTCTGTGAATGAGCTTGTGTATGAATGATTGTATCACAAAGTTCTATTAAAATGTTTTCACTATTGTAAATATGGGTTGTAAACAAAAGCATTTTATGCATATTTCAAGAAATGATTTTAAATTTTTCAGATGGATTTTGCCATTGATGGTCAGAGAGGGGAAATCACAGAAAAAGGCATTCTTTCAATGACAACAGAGGAATTATATTTAGAGCAAGAAAAGGTAAGTTAATAATATCAGTTAAATATTGTGATAAATCTGGAAAAACATTTCAAAGACAGTGAGAGCTATTATTTATATTTGAATATAAAACTGATTTTAATCCCTGCATATACTAAAAGAGGAGGGTTTTTTAAAATAATCTGCTATGTATTGATTTAGTAGAAGGCATTTATAATACTGATTACCCATGTACACCTGGTGAGTTCAGATTTCCTAACCTCAAAATGTACTACTGCGTTTTCCTGTTAAAGCAAGCAGTGTTATGATATCAAGACACAGATGGAATACTCCTGCTTGGCTACATATTGAATAAGAATTAATGTCTTAGTCTCCTTTCTGTGGGCTGAGCTCTACTGTTCTTCAAGTTTCTAAGACAAAATCCCCAATGATGGCAGCATGAATATGATCCTGTTTTATATTTCACCTCCCTCTGTACAAAGACTTAGTTCTTTTAGGTTAACTCTCTTATCAGAAATAAATTGATAATGTGGAAACTGGACAGGACAAGGAGTTCTTGAATTAGTTGGGATAAAGCTAGAAGATGCATTAAAACCAAATGAGGCCCTAAATTACACATAGTCTCCAGAAATCATGTTCTTGGCAGTATCTCATATTAATGCATGTACAGGAGCACCTATTCTGGCCTAATCCTTTTGCCACTCTGTAATCTCCATATTGGCTAAAACAGCTGGGTATTGATAAATATGTTAGGCCTATGTCTGTGACTTCTTCCCTTATAAAAGCAACAGCAGTTAGCTATATAAATTGAATTCCTCATGGGATCTGAGTTGGGAATCATTTTAACTATAAACCAAAGGAATTTGGCTGTATTATATTGAATAATCCTCAGCTGATTGATTCAACAGAAAGTACTTCTTACGATTCAGTGAACCACCTCATTTGCATTTAAGGTAGGCACAAAAGAGGATGATAAATATAGGAAATGTTGCAAAGCCCCTGGTTCATTGATGCATATAGTCTGGGTCTGCCCTAAGGTGACATGCGTTTGGAGAGATGTGCGTGACAGAACATATTTTATTTAAATTTGGATGTTCCTTTAACATCTGAAACTTTCAAACAGTACTAGGACTTACATAGCTAAAATTAGACCTTAGAAATCTTTCAAAATTCTGGTTCCCATGGACTTTTTCTGTATGCAAATAGTTTATCTTGGAAAAGTGGAAACCTTGTCCATCTCCAAAGATTGAAGACTCATGTAATAACTTATTTGAAATGGTAGCCCTTGAAAGACTCATGCACATACGATGGCAGGAACACACAAAACTTCAGGACACAGGAGCTCTTTTGTCTAATCATTTTGACTAATCATTACTTTTCTTTATTCAGCATTGAAAATTTGTAGTTTACTCACCATTTGTACTATTTGCTTTTTTTAATCCATAACCAACCAATTTAATATACTGTGTGCATTGGTCCCAATCCTAAACTCCTTACTTAGGCAAAAGTCCTAGGACTATCTCTGGAGATTGAACCAGTAGCTCCCTCTGGAGTTAAATAAATTTCGGTGGACATACTAATTCTATCTCTGCCTGCTGAAAGGCATGCACTGAATGACAAAACTTTTATATCCTCATCCCTTATTAGAAATGATCCTAAGGGACCAACCAATTTCTTAATTCTTAGCACCCAAGACAAACAGAATTTACTGCTCCTTCACAAAAATGCTACCTAGAAGTTTCTCTTACAAGCCTATGGTTTTCTTTGATACGATGGAAGCACATGGCAATAAAAGGAAACACAAAGTTGATATAGATATAGATATTTGTCTAAATCACACATACTTTTTAATTATAGGAGTCTAGCGTATAGGTATATGTTACAGAGTTCATTTACAGACACTACAAATTTACATTCAAACTACACGTGAAAATCAGTTAGTTATAATTTAAGGATGAAAAATAACATGAAACAATTGATCAGATTCTCTATTCTGCTCCAGTGGGAGGGAGGGTAGGAGGGTGTCTGTGTGTGTTAAACATTTATTTAGGAAGTTTTAACAGGTTTATAAATCCTTGCCATGTAAGAGAGACAAAACAATAATCTCCCCACATGAAGAGTACCTGAGTGATACAGGCCACTAAAGAGGCTCGATACCACCCTTTTCCCTAGCTTCTAGTGTAGGAAAGGGAGTGAGTCCAGTGTGCCCATCTGCTTCAGCTGTATTTGTATTCTGGAACAGTCTCTGGGCACAAACAGAGGTGGCTTAAAGGTGCCTTTTCTCCTGCCCCCCCCCCCCCCAGCAGACTTGCAACAAACACAGCTTCCCCAGACCAGAGAATCTAGGTCAATGTGTTTTGTCTTTTGGGTTTTTTTAAGCAAATCAGTCCTAGATTCTCTCTGTCTTATTCCTCTCTATTCCATGCAGAACACAGGGTCTTCACCATTGCATCCATCTCTGCTGCTTGCCTCCTGCAGTCTTAGCTACTTCCCATATCATTTTGATAACTTTCAGTTCTGCTTCTGTTGTTTGCATCCATGTTATCCTTGCTCGGTGGGTTACAGTGCAATGGCTGTCTTGTTATGTTCTTCTGGTCTTTCCTCCATGTACATGCTAGCCCTCTCCATTTTGGTTCTGTAGTTTCTTGTCCTATCAGTTTCTGTTTTGTCCTCCTTCAGAGTTCTTCATTTGTGGTTTGTTTGTTTTTCTGACAATCTGATACTGAGGATTTGTCTAAGGCAGCTCTTTATGGAAACTTGGAGTCTAGATAGTCCGGTCAATAAGAATCAGTCCTAGATTGATGGAATTATCAATATTACATATGATCATAATAGAGTAGCTTTAAAGTTATTTGATACTAATTTGAATGCCTTATACACCTCTACCCCAATATAACGCGACCCGATATAACACAAATTCGGATATAACGTGGTAAAGCAGTGCTCCAGGGGGGCGGGGCTGCGCACTCCGGCGGATCAAAGCAAGTTCGATATAACACGGTTTCACCTATAACGCGGTAAGATTTTTTGGCTCCCAAGGACAGCGTTATATCGGGGTAGAGGTGTATTCCTTAGGGACTTAATTATAATTCCATATTAATTGATGCATATTTATTTTAAATGTTATCTGTATTTTATAAATAATTGTATTCCACCAATAAAGGTTTCAGCCAAGTTTAATCATAATTAAAATTTTTGTATCACATTTGCAAACATATTAATTCTTATCAGTTATATTATGTAAAAAGTAGATGTGCAGAGCCAGTCAAAATTCAGAGCTATTTTCTGATTATTCATTTACAGTTGAATTGCACTGTTGTGTTAAATAGTGGCCTGATCCTGTCTCTTATACACAAGTAATTTTTATTTACAATAGTAGTGCCATTGAAGTCAATAGTATTATTTGTGTGATTAAGATTTGCAGAATAGGGCCCTATCAGTCTATGATAACATCACTAAATAACATAACTATGGCGCACCATCACAGATTTATCCTCAGAATTTCTCTTTTCCTATGAACCAGTTTAATACGCCATTCTCATTTTGAAACAAAAATATTTTCAATACTATAAATCTTGAATCTCTTTCCTTACTATTGTTGCTTCCCAACATCTTTTTTTTCTAACACATCTCTTGTGGGGCATGATTCTGGAAGGTGCTGATTATCTAGGGCCAGATTATGAAAGGTATTTATGTGTCTGATGATGCAGATAGGCACCTTTCAGAAGTGATAGCATACTTGACTCCTATCTGTATCTTTAGGTGCCTAAATACCTTTAAAAATCTGGCCTTTATCTCCAACAGATTTTAGTGGGAGCTGAGATGCTGAGAACTTCGAGGTGCTTGGTACTTTGCAGAATTGGATCCTTAGTTTTAAAAAAATAACAATTCCTTTATAATACTTAATGTCACTTTTTAGACCTAGTTTAGAAACACATTAAGGATGCTGGACCCAGACCCTTAGATAATATAGATCCACTGAAGTCGTCAGAGCTTGGCTGATGTACATCAGCTGAAAACTTGGTCTGTTAAATCTAAGCTGATATTGCTATTTTTGTGTGTCTTCTACCCTTTGTGGGGATTTCAATTGACAGGTTTATGGGAAGTAGCTTAGAGCACTTCCTGATAATGTGTGGACTGTGAGTTGTATAGCATTTCAGCTGACATTAGTATTAAGGAGAACAGGAGAAACAGGAGGCAGTATGAATAATAAGATGACTTTTATATACATTTATAGTAAAAATAAAGCTTAGAGTTTTTTTTGTTCTGACTTCACAGGAGCACCTTTAAATGTTAAAGGTATAAAGTATATGATTTAGAGGTATGAATAAAACCTACGTATTCTGTATAAGTATATCCAGTATAGGAGCTTTGCAAAGTATCATGAACATTTATAAACCAAGGCTCAAAAAGCTACACATGTACCCTTCATCATGATGAGTTCAGCTAACAAGGGGGGGGTGGGAAATATTTGATTATTGCACCAAAAAAGATTACTCTCCTTCACTGAGTTGAATTTTGCAAGGCTACAGTACCCAGCTCCACTGAAGTCAGTGCAGCTACACTGATTTACACCAACTGAGGACCTGACCCTATATTTTTAATAGGAGATATAGCTGGTTTCCCTATTTCCATACACTTTTTCTTGAAGCAATCTGCTCACTTACCGTAGACCCACCCAAATCCTGTATAGTGTCACTTCCTTGTCGAGTTTTCCTGGAGAATGAGGAGTAAAATGTGTAGGCTTTCTGCAGCACAATGAGAGTTTGCATTTTTTCAACTTATGCGTACGTAAGCCTTCTTTTGTGAAGAGGACTCATAGGGTCAGATAATGTTTAAAGGGAAAGGCTTTATGTCTCTCAGGCCTGCATGTTTCCACATGGATGCATCCACACACACACAGATTGAATTATGAACAGACCTATTAATGCTGGGATCACAAAAGGTCAAGTTTTGTCTTCTTTTACCTCTATTCAGAATTGCTTTTGAAAAGGGGGAAAAAGGATTTGCAGAAAAAAGATTCATGATGAAGAATTTTACAGGTCTTTCTCCATTCCCCCTTCCCCCCCCACCCACCCCTTTTAGCAACATCTGGGAATTGAAAAAAATTCTTACTATGTAAAATAGTTCAGGGGTATTGTATTACTAGATTTTAATATAACTCTCCTAGGTCACATGTAGGGTTACCTTTTGGGATAGCCTGTTACCTAACAACAAAAGGAACTTCTGTCAAAATTTCCTGGTACTAAAATGTATATAAAGTTTATCTGAAGAAACATCCTAAAATTTCCAACAAAAGAATTATGGGTATTTTTTTTTCTGATAACAGTGGATGGCCAAATCCTGAAATATTTACACCATCAATACCCCCAAAACTGAGTGATAAAGTTAAATTAATAGCTTGAACATTTTCAGATTATTATTTTAATATGTTATTTTTAAAAATTGCATGTAAAAGTGGATTTCTATATATGGCATATGAAGAGAATCTACTTCATACATGAGTCTGAAATGTCAGGCTCTATACACATTAAAGGGTTTTGATGATATCAGGGTAACTGTGAAAATATAGCATTGGAACACATTTATTAGAAAGTGTTCTAACAGTCCTCACCCTAAGTAACATTTACATTATATAACCCAATACCATTGCAGTAGGAAAATCAACTAAATAATTTGGCTGAGTTATGTCTTGACTTCCACATCCTGCAGTGAGCTGTGCAGAATCTTAAAATGTGTCTTATCTTAAAATGTGTCTTTAAGATTTAAAACCACCTAAAAAAGTTTTTTGTTTTTCGAAAAATCTTACAAAAAGCTGCCTAAGAAACAGAAAACAAAGAATGGGGGGGAAATGGTCGGTTTTCAACATGGCAAAAGGTTAACAAGTAGAGTGCCTTCAGACTCTGTATTATGTTTGATGTTATTTACTTCATTAATCATCTGGAAAAGATGCAAACAGTAAAGTGGGAAAAATTTCAGATGAAACAAAATCATTTAAGTTAGTTAAGAGTGGAGAGTACAGTAACTTCAGAGAGACCTAACAAAGCTAGGTAAATTGTGACATGATGACAGATGAAATCCATTGTTGTCAAATGTAATATAATGCACATTGGAGGGAACAGTTTGCACTATTCATCCACATTGCTGGGTTCTAAAAATGGCTGTTGCCACTCAGGGAAAAGATCTGGGGATCACTACGGATAGTTCAAGGAAAACCTTTTTGTTGTGCATTGAGAGCCAAAAAAGCAAACAAACTGTTAGGATATATTAAGATGGGATAGAAAATAATACTAAAAATACTGTAATGCTATTCTAATCGCCCTCACCCGGAACATTGTAATTTATTCTGTTCACCTGTATGATAAAAGTTATAACAGAAATACAAGGGATTTAGAGATGGATGACAAAAAAAGATTAGAAGCCTGTAGCAATTTCTGTTTGAAGAGAGATTGGACTGTGTAGTTTAGACAGGAGAAGAATAAGATGGAACACGATAAATGTACAAAAATAACGAACAGTATAGAGAAAGTAGATCAGAAACTTCTATCTACTTTTCCCTAATACTAAAAGAATAAAGGACATTTGGTAAAATTGAAAAGCAACAAACATAAAGCTGATCAAAATATGTGCTTTTTTAAAAACTGCACTTAATTAACGTATTCATTAGTACAATATATCAATGAGACCAATAGGTTAGGCTATGTCTACACTACCACTTTATGTCCACAAAACATATGTCGCTCAGGAGTGTGAATATTCCACCCCCCTAAGTGACATAAATTATGCTGGCATAAGTGGTAGTGTGCATAGTGCTATGTTGTTGGGAGAAATCCCCCTCTTACATAGCTACCACCATTCATTGGGGGTGGGTTAATTATGTCAACGGGAGAGCTCTCTCCTTCGGCATAGAGCGACTACATGAGAGATCTTTCAGCGGCACAGCTACCTCAGTACAGACAAGCCGCTGTAAGTTCTCTAGTGTAGACAGCCTCAGTAGGATTTAAAAAGAGAATTAGATATAAATATCAATAATGAGAACATCCACAGTTATATCATGTTTGAATAAAAAGTATCCTTCATGTCATAAGCCACTAACTGATGAGGGCTAAGAAGAAACTTCTGCTGTAAGCAAGTTATTTTGTACTTGTTCTTTATGGAGCTTCTCCCCTCTTTCATCTGACAAAGCTAGTACTGGCTACTTCAGAGACAGAATACTGGATTGGATGAATCAGTGATCTAGTCCCGTATAGCAATGTCCATAGTCTTTTTAAATATGCAGGAATTTAGAAGTCTTATGCCATAGTACTGTGTATCTTGCAAAGTAATAATAGAGGGATATTCTGTATGTGATTTTAATCAAAACTTTTTCTTGTTAATATCTTCAAATCTCTTAAATATAGCACAGAAAAATTCTGACAAAGCTTACACATACATTTCAGAGTTATAATCTAGTAGCATCAGCCACAGGAACTTTGTTCTTATTTTAAAATTTATAAATGACTTTGTGTATAGCCTTATATAACTCAGTTGCCTGTGTGGTGTTCTCGCTCTATCTATACAAAAATTCAATAAAATAGAACAATACGAAAAGTGTCTGAATATGCACTACAAAGCTATAATTCTTTTACTTACCATGCTCACTCCACCCTACTCATCTCTTAAAGATTGACAAAACTAATGATATTCATGATCTGATTTTCATTGTTAGGTGCACAACTGCATATGAAAAATGCAATTATTAAGTATGGTTAGATGCATAACTATGTTCTACCATGTGCAAAAATACCTGTATGGGCATGTAGTGATAGTAATTGCACCCCCAAATGAGTATGAATTGTGTATATGCTCTTTTAAAAAATAGCTCCATATTTTGGACCGAAATGTTAAGGATTAATTATGAAACTATCTCTATAAATAGATAAGCCTTGCAGCATGCCATGAATACCCTGAAATGTGGGGTTTCTGGAACCAAAGGGATGGATAATTCCAAAGCTCTCATAGTGTAAATATTCTCCTTTCAATTCAAATCTGGGAACTGTCTGCAATAACATCCCTGCTGATTTCAACTCCCAGGATGTTAGAAAGGGGATGTGCTAGATTTAAATTCATGATGCTGGTGGTTACATATTTTATATTGGCAGCTGTTGCTAATAGTTCCCAGGATATGAGTTCTAAACTCTAGTTGTAGCACCAGTATTGTGTCTTCCAAATATCATTTTTACCCCTAAATGGGTAAGCCATCTTTGAAACTTTTTCAAACCTCATGGCTAAGTAGAGCATCTCTTTTACTAATTTGTGGAGTCATGAGGAATGTGGTCACTGTTCTCATTAAAATAAAAATATGAGCAGCTCCAATTAAAGTCATGTAAATGTCTTAAAAACGCTGCTATGGAATCTGGAAAAAAACATGTATATAAATATATCCAAACAGATGTAATTCCAGTAGAACCATTCTTTTTGAATTACAAATTTATTTATATCCATTATGCATCACTGGTGATGTTATGGACTATAACCAATCGGTTTGTGAATGGAAAAGATTTTTAAAAAGGGGGGATTTGAATGACTGATACATTTTCATTCATTAAGGATGATCACGCATATGTACCTACTTATGAACTTTGTGGCCATCCATAACCAGAAAAAAATATATATATAAAAAAAAGGTTTGTTTCACCCATCACCTCTGTTGTGTATATTTCTTGTGTGGTCTTTCTCTGTCAGACACAAGCAGTAGGTATACAGAGAGATCAAATACATTCTATACTTCCATTCAAAGTTTGCACTGAAAAGCTGTCTTTTCCCTCAGGTTTGTAATGAAAATTCTCGTAGGTGTGACATCAACAATTGCCTCTTGCTAACAGCTCTTGTAATTTAACCCTTCAGGTGAACAAGCTCATTGAGGAATTGCAAGTGGCCATCAAGAGCTACAAAGGTCACCTCTCAAAACTTGCCCCACAATTACAGGCTGAGCAGGAGCAGTGTGCCTCTTATGTCTACCAACACATTAAAAGGCTTCCAGCAAACATGGTTCTCCCGCAAGGCTTGCAGCTAAAGGTGGGTGTAGTTTAATAGCTTTCACAATTTTCCATCTTGATACAAAGAAAAAACTCACTTTGTCTTTAAGACACTGATATCAAATATACCTACTTTGAATTGTGAATTATATTTGTTCTTGAGTACTTGTATTATTCAATATGAGGATTCTGTTTCTTCGTTACTTATAATACAGTTCTTCCAGGACACTGTTCTCTAATAATAAATAATTGAAATTAAAATAAACAACAAAGGAAAGTTTGTAACATTTAGAATTTAATTGCCAATTATATTCCAGCTGTGAAGGACAGGGATCAAAGCATTGATGCATTTAAATTAACTTTTTTTAAAAAATAGGCTCCATGAAGTTTGAGGGCTCTTTTAAGTTTCCTAGTGATGCCAGTATGGCTGTTACAGATTTCAGCAGTTGCATGAAGATGTCTGGTGTCATGACAATGCATAAACAAATGTGGAAGAGCAGACTTGACAGCGACTAAATATAATTGCTTCAAACCATAGTTAAAACTAATTTCTCCAAAAAAACCCATCCTAATAAAGTCTTACTCTTGGGTCAGTGCTCCCAGCACATGGCCAGATGGGAACTTCCACAGCTCATGACCTTTGTTGCTCAGCATCTCCACTGGGATGCACAGACTGCATCCACGAGCCTTGCTTCAAAGCCCTTTGAAATGAATGGGAGTCTTTCTATTGAATTCTATTGAATTTTTGGATTGGGCCTATGGTCAGCAAAGGACCTATGGTTTGGTATCATTTTCAGTGCTCAAAAATGATATGTAGCATATGTATATAAATATAACAATTACCTTTAAAAATGTCCCATTTGTCCTCCTAAATAGATATGTGTTCTGATTCCCATTTCATTTACATCAGGTGTACTCCAGTTAAAACTCCTTTATAAAGTTATTCCTGATCTACTTTGGTCTAAGGGAAAAATGAATCAGAACCAGGGTTACCTCAGAATTTACAGTATTACTTCTCTATAATTACTGTAGGCTAGGCCTTGTGTACTCCATTGAAAGTTGAACCTAAATTTTGGACCCTGGATTCTGTGGCACTCTAGTGGAAAATCCTGAATGTTCTGAGGCAGCTTCACATAAATTCGGCCTTGTCTACACACACTGGTTGTACCAATTTAACTAAATCAGTTTAGAACAATTTCAACTGATGTAGATAAATCAGTGCAACTCCCTTGTGCAAACACTTATTTCAGTTTGAGTGCTTTAGATCAATTTAGCTTAAGTCATTTCCGTAACACTTTATATAACATGGGGAATGTTTTTTCCCTTCATCTGATGAGGTCACTTGTATGATTCTAACTCTTGTGATGTCATCCATGCTTCTTCTCCTTTCAGATTGGCTTACAATGCTCTATTCATTGAAAAAAACACATCTAGAGAAAAAAATAACACTGGAAGATATAGTGCTATCCTTATAAAAGTGTGGCAGTTTGAGGAGTCCCATGAGGGCTTGCATCTTAAAATAAGTGAAGTCCTGTGGACACTGACTGTGGTCACTGCAACCACTTTAGACACATTAAATTTGTTTATTTTTTAAATTCCTGTTTCATCACTGGTAATGTAAAGCAAAGGATCATGAGTGTGTACTCTTGATTCTGCTAGGACTGGTTGGACTGCAGTTTCAAGGCACTGGATCCCTATGTGCAAATATCATTTTTAAAACTAGAAGAATGCTTTCAAAACTTAAGAAAGGGCTGTGAAGATTTACTCCTCAGATGCACATAGTCCATGTGTCATGTACATATGAGTCCTTATGGTTACAAATGGTAAAAGATTCTGGTTTTCTAGAAAACAAATTATGTTGAGGCTTTTATAAGCAAAAATTAACCTTTTAAAATTCCTAAGGAGTCTGATGGGACTTGCTTTTGGACTTGCTGCAATAAGCAGCAAATGAATTTTGGTGGTTAATTTTGAAATTGTAATTAATTGCCAGTGTGTATGCAGGACTTTGCAAGTGTCACATCAAAACTCATTTGTAAAATAATGCCTTTGAAGTAGTAGCACTGTGCAAGTCTATACAGAAAACATGAAAAATGGAACTGCAATTCAATAAATTCTGCAACAGCTTTGTAGGACTAGAAGTACTCTGCGCACACACTACTGACAGGCACGTTGCCAATATGTCAGAGATGCAACATACTTAGCCACGAGATCTTTGTTTATTTGATTATTGTTGTGTCAGTTTTTGATTCATGGTTCAGTCACCTCAAGGTGTACTTTTTGACTTCCACGAAATTCAATATAGGTATTGATATGGTGTATGAGTGTAGTGGGATACAGACTAACACGGCTGCTACTCTGAAACGTGGGCACAAAAGAAACTCAGGATAAAACGTGTGGCCTAGTCTAAGTGGGTAGGAAAGCCCATCAGGAAACACAAATCTGATGATTCTCTTACCCATCTTAATGTTTCCCCATGGGATGGGAGTATGAAATCATTAATACTGGACATGTTATGTTTTTTCTCCATTTCTGTATATTTCAATAGTTGTGGCATCGTTCATCTGCTTAATGAAATTGTTAATAAAAGGATGTTTGATAATTTGTGAGTGTATTACTTGTGGTCACTCTCCCTTGTGTTTTCCTATAGTCTCCAAACCTAATGATATTTCTGATGGTGGTTCTCCCCTGCTAATCCTGATACTGTAGTCCTTTGGGGGCTTGAACCTGTGGCACAATCACTGCCCTAAGATAACATTTGGTGATACTAACCCATCAAGATTATAAAGGCCACACCACGAATAGGCCTGGTTTTGAGAGGTACCTGAATGCATTTTTCTAATGTGAAGTACACTCATAAGTCGCTGTTTACATTCAGGAAAATATGACTTTTCCTTTGCTTCTTGCTTTTTAATGTACTGCAGGAGTATTACTGAGTTGATAACATGTATAAGAGCCCTACATCTAGTTTGGAATATTAGATCCCATGCAATGCCTTTTGTAACAAGGCAGGTTTTTTCTCTGTATTCTTTGATAGGTCTGTAGATGTCCTGCAAATTTATTGCTAGGAAGTCAACAAGAAAAGTAGATGATCCAAAAATATAACTAGTATTTTGATATAAATGGGCTGATCTACACTGAGGTTTTTTGCACTGGTGTAGACACTGATGTAACTATACTGTTGCAAATCCCTAGTTTAGATGTTTCAGTCTCAGGGAGATTGACCTTCTACACAGCAGTGAATTTGCTCTTTACCACTTCGATGTTTCTGAAAATTTTCCTTCTTGCCTGTCCTCACATATAGTACTTTTCATATTAAACTCCGAAAATAAACACATGCTTTATGCTTGTATTACACATGATTATTTCACAAAACTATAATTTTCCTACCTAAGTTTTAACCAGTGCCCTGAAACAACTTAATTGCTGGCCTAATAGGAGACTAAGGAGTCAATTAATAAAAGTTTCATGCATCATAGGCAGGTTTTCTACAGAGTCTACTCAGAAAAAGTAATGTATCTTCACATTTGTGAATAAGACACTATACACATTCAACCTAAACAGATATTCATACTCTATTATTGTTTTAAAAAGGTTGTTCCTCTATATCCATGCACATTTTCTGTACCGAAGGGTACAAATCTGTGAGCGCTCTAGCTATTTTAGTACATTTCTTTACCCCTTTATAGTTGGCCATTTCTTCATTACAAACTTATGGATACATAGAATAAAAGGTATTGAATCAGCAAAAAGATGTGTTCATCATTAAATAACAAAAAATAACCTAAGCTGAGAAAAATATCCAAACTTCAGTATGTTGAACTTGTCTTGGGACTGTTTAGCCTTATGCCTTATGCTCAGGTAGTTACTGAATGGCATACAGTGTTTACATTTTTATAAATTCTTTAAAAAAAACTAACTACACAAGATGCATTGATAACATGTGGGACATTTTCAAAATATTTGTTTTCTGGCTCTCTTCAGTGTATTGTGCTTATATTATTTGGGCTAAACGTGGAGTAAATATTCTTGCAATCATGTTATTAACATTAACATTAACAACAATATTAACAATATGCCTTTATGCTGAGAAGTATGTCAGCAAGAATGTTTTTTGTGATTTTCATCTCAGAGCTGCAAATTGAGAGTAGCTGCCAGGGACTTTGTTAATTTCAGTACCCATAACTTCATTTCCCCCGCATTCCTTCTTAAGCTATTATAGCCTACAGTATGCTCAGGGATATTACTTGACACAATGTTTCAATTGATCATTGAAAATTAAACATTATTATTTATTGTTTAATTACTGTACTCTGGATTTTTTTCATTGTAGTATGTCAGAATAGATAGCAGTCTATATGAGATTATATTTTGCAGTATGTACTCTAGTAGTATGAATTATATTCCACACAAAAAAATCAGGCAGCACATAAACTGCTTTTAGAAATAAACCACATGAACTTTTGCCATTGACTTCAATGGGAACAGGAATTGGGCCCAAGGAACATTTTCTTATAGCAGCATGTGTACAGTATTGTACAATAAAAGCTGTATTTTTACAGAAATTTTAATTCTAAAATATCTATTGCAATAAACACTTATGAATTGTAACTACCAATTTTTAATGCCTATATTTCCTGCCCATATTTTTTATATCTGCTTTTAAGGGCTTGATCATGTACTTCAGTAGGAGTTCTCATGTAAGGATTACTCATGTGAGTAAAGGTTTCCAGGGTCAGATCTTTAATTTATAAAATGGGAAAAAATGCGGTTACCTTTGATGAGAAATGTTTTGTTTTATTCTTCTTAACACAACTCTCTTGCCTTTGATGTATAGTTATAAAATGGGTGCATTCCTGTTGCTAACACTAGATTAATCTGAGGGTAAAAAATCTGTTTGATTTTTGGTAACCAGTAAATACTTGCCTATCTATTTCCCAAATGATGACAGGTCTTGCTATACATCTTAAATTGTCATTGAATCAAGCATTGTATGTGTGCAGCCTGAGTTTTAATTAAATCATATATGACCAAATCATAGCC